GAGGTCCTGCTGTTCAATAAGAAAAAATATTTTTACTTAGTGACTCTCAGATAGAAACTACATAAAAAGACCTTGAGTGGTGGGACAACTGCTTCAGAGTATGCAGTATCTCAGGCACTTTGGTTCTTGCTTTTCCTGGAGCTAACATACTCTACTTGTTGAACAGGAATCTGGTACGGGATCCTAGAAGGCATTGGAATTCTTTCTGTTATCACAAATGCATTTGTTATAGCTGTGACATCAGATTTCATCCCTCGCCTTGTTTATGCTTACAAATATGGACCTTGTGCTGGCCAAGGAGAAGCTGGACAAAGGTAAGCTTTTCTTTGGGAAAACAGATGCATTTGAAAATCACTTACTGCTTGAATAGATACAGCAGTACTGTCTGTGTATGTTTCAGTTCCACTAACCCAAATTTACTGTTTGTGCTTAGGTAACAGATACCAGCCACAGATACTGATGCTTTGCATATTCACAGAATGGGTTGCTGAGTAACTATAATTTGTGACATTAATTCAAGAAAAACATGGCAGAGCTGTTACAGAGATTTGGTGTGTGTAAGAGTATGCTGCACAAGCTGCACTTCCCAGCTGGTGTACTTGGATATAACCCTCTTTTCATTCTGAAGCAATGCTGATATTTATCAGTTATGGCTTTAATGAGCGTTTTAAGCTTATTCACTAGGCCTTTTTTTCCTTATATATTATTCAGCATGTATTGCTCAAAAAAAAGTAGTATCTAGCAAGAGGAAGCAATTCCTAACTAATAAATCAAGGTATACTTACAGAGCAAAGTAAATTGTTTTTCTTCTAAAACTAGAGTCCTTAGGTAAATCTTTCAGGAGACATTCGTGAACTGAATCCATTCTGCCTAAATGGATTTTATTTCAGTGTTGCTAAACACTGAGATTATATTAGCATGTACATACTATCAGCAAGTATGAGTATACCTGCTACATGGCAACTTTTAAAATCTAGGCTGTTGCACTCAGGGAAGGTAATTGAATCCAGGTGGATACAAATATACAGTTTTCAAATAATCTCCTAGCAGCTCCATTAGCAAGGACCCTACTGTTCAAAGAAACCCAGTGACAGAGAGCTCCCATTCTGCTATTAGACATATGGCAGATTGATTTTTATTCCCTGCCACAGAAAGCAAGATCTTCTGTTGCTGCTTTTTTTACTGTCTTTTGGTTGTCAATACTGTTTAATCATACTGACAGAAGAAGGGCAGCTGCTGTGGCAGCTCCTGATTAGTAGTGCTCCTAACTTGCTGTCCTGCAAGGAGTTTGGCATTTTAGTTGGTGCCAGGGGATATGTTCCATTTATTTTCATGAAAAGTTAAAGTCCCTTCACAGGTAAAGTGTTTGGTCTAGTGCCAGTCATTCGTAAGTATGTGCCTCTGCTTATGCCATTATGAAGATCCATAGGACACTGAGGCACTGTCAGCAACTTTCCTTGCTACTGATTTTCTCAGGACCATCATGTATGAAGAAACAACAGCTCTAGAAATTTTGTTTTTATGAAGACTCAGATATGACTCACTATATGGGAAGTAGCTTGGCTCACAGAGGAAGCTCTTATCATCTTTTCACAAACCTCTTGTATAGTGTTTTCACACTTCTGCTGCTTTTCTGAGTGAATTTCTAGATTAAACCATCAGATAGTAATCCTTTGAAGAAGCCAACTTGGATAAAAACTATATATGTCAACACTCTGGTTATTGTTATTAATAAGTACTGTTAAAAATGCAGGAACCTATTCAAAAATCCACAGGAATATTGATTTTTTTCTCAAATTAAGGAGTCAAGAACATCTGCTATTGAATAACTTAAATGAGTGGTACTTTTTTCTTTGAAAAAAAATCTGTAAGTATTAAATCCATATGACACCCAGTGATACTAGAAAAGTATTGCAATTGAATTACAGGGAGATCTTATAGCAGCCTTACAATACCTGAAAAGGACCTATAACAAAGCTGGGGAAGGACTTTTCATAAGGGCAGTTAATGGCAAAACAAGGCGAAATGGGTTTAAGCTGAAAGAGGGGAGGTTTAGATTAGATATTAGGAAGAAGTTCTTCATTGTGAGGGTGGTCAGACACTGGAACAGGTTGCCCAAGGAAGTTGTGGGTGCTCCCTCCCTGGAAGTGTTTAAGGCCAGGCTGGATGAGGCTTTGAGCAACCTGGTCTAGTGGAAGGTGTCCCTGCTGATGGCAGGGGGATTGGAACTAGATGATCTTTAACGTCCCTTCCAACCCAAACCATTCTATGGTTCTATGATTCTATAAATTAAGTTCCAAATCCAATCAGTATGGAGATTTTGAGACAAAGCCAGATGGTGTTTAAATGTAATTTCTCGAAGACTGTAAAATCCATCATTTCAAAAAAAAAAAAATTCCGCACCAAGCTGAGCAATGTGCCTAGGCTTACTTATACTTGGGCAGTGAGCAGCACCATACACTTACCATTTCTCTCCTCAGCTTTATTAACACCAAAACCGAGCCTCCTACTGGCTCCCACAGCCCTTTGTCAGACAATGTTCATTCTCATCCCCAGTGTTCTCCAAACTGCCTGACCCTCCCAGTGCTCAGCTACCCTGGGATCTTTTAGTAATGAGTTCCTCTGATTAACTGGACATTTTGTAAAAATCTGATTTAAGTGTATTGCCTTTCCATCTGATTTAATGTCCCTTTGTACTAGTACCACGAGGGTAACAGTGTTCCCAGTATTCTGATTATTTTCCTAGTGCTGCTCATTATTTTCTGCACCTCTACCGTGTCGCCTTTTAGGTGACTTTTCTTTTCAAAAGTAACCAGTCTCAGTCTTCGCCATTTCTTCTCCCATAGAAATCTACCAGTGCTTCAATTTTATTGTCCATCTGACCTACTTGAGCATTTATTTTATATTGCCTCAACATCCCTTTCAAAAATTAATAAGCATCACAGTTGTACTGTGGATTTCATTAAATCCAGAGAACATCTTCCTGGGTAAAACAGATAATGAAAAAACCTTGCTGTGTCCTGACTACAGGAATTTTTCCCCTCTAGGTGTATGGTTGGCTATGTTAATGCCAGTTTATCAGTATTTCTGGTGTCTGACTTTGAAAACCGTTCAGAGCCAACGTCAAATGGAAGTGAATTCTCTGGTTCACCATTAAAATATTGCAGGTAAGTATCTGACCCAAATACTTCTCTCCTTTAAGAGACTGCAAGGGAGAAGCATCATGATAACATTGGAGTTGGAACTAATTTTCAGAACTTAAAAAACAGTAATGGAAAGAATTAACTGTGCTATTCAGGGACATGCTTGGCTGTTACCTGCGTGATTCCTTCCTTAGATACAGGAGAAGCCGAAAAGTGGGTATCTGGCAGGTCTTCCTAATGCAGGATTTCTATGGTGTCATGGCTTGAATCGGACACAAGGATCATGGCTAAATATGGTATCAAAAAGGGCCAATAATAGGTGACTAATTACTTAGGCACCAGTGAGATGAAACTGTAATCAGATTATATCATAGCACACAAAGTCAAGGTTGCACAGAAGTGACCACACTGAGTTATTTCACAGGTTTGCCAAGCATAAACAAGGTCTCTCCTAAGATACCTTTACGAAACTTCAAATCCAGCACTAATCCAGTTAGTATGTTTATGTCACTGCTTACAGGTGTAATTATTAGTAATAATCGTATACTTGTGGTTTGAACAAAAATAAAACGAGCAGTTAATTATCTGTATGTCTTTGTCCTCAGCCAACAGATTGGAGAAGTAGCAGTTTGAGACTAGTCTGTAATGAGAGATTGGCACCTGATTGATTTTAATGGTCCAAAGAATCAAGGATCTGCATAAAGGTCTAAAATGGGGTCCCAATCAAAAATAGCAAACAACAAATACAGCTACTATTTTTTAATTGCAACATTGGTTTACGAGCATGAGTCCTGGTATCTGCAGATACACTTAGTCCCAGTATTTTTCACAGTGCAGAATTAAACTGTCCTTTCATGAGCACCTAAAAAACAAAAGATACTCAGTGATACAGCAAAAATCAGTGATATTTTGTGATATTGTGGTATTTCTATTAATAAGAAATTTCAGTGTTATAGCATAATGAAGTAAAGGGATGGCATTAATGTTTTCATTTAACTAACTGATATTTAAGACTTGAAACTTATTTTGCAAAAAGAACATCCCAATAATGAATCCATAAATAACATTTGCTGTGGAGCAGAATCACTTTGAGAATACTCCATTCCACATTGTTTACCATAGAACTGTTTAATAACGTTTTGTAATTCTGAACATTTTCTTCCCCCTCTTTAATTAATTTCTTCCTTAACTTCAAGCATGAGGTTGCTGCTGCTTAAAACTGATGGTAGAAATCCCAGTAATAAAAAAAGTTTTTCCCACAATGTCCCATAAAGAAAACAGTATAAACATGGGTGCCATAAATCTCCAGAAGATAAATCTGTTCTTTTGGGAGACATTGAATTGTTATGTATATCTACCCTTGAAAGAAAATGAACATCTTACTTTCTTTAGCTGAATTTATCAGCTACATAACCCACTTGAATTCTGCTAAAACATCAGTCATCTTAACTGCACTTCAAGCCAGATATTGATAGTGAGGTAAGAAAATACTATGATGTTCTACTGTGCAATCATGTAGGCATTTTTCCAGGAATGCAGTCTGTCTGAACAAAAAATCAGTGGTCCCATTTAGTTAACTTCTGCTTGTCTGGAATCCAGATGGTGCCATGCTATTCTCATTGTTTATAAAAGGTTTCCGCATTTCTTCATGCGTAGTGCTTGGTACTTAGCAAGTGCAAAAAGAAGACATATTCTGCTGACTTGGGACTTGGTCCAGGGATTTCTGTCTTCAGGGTGCTTAGGATATTGTAAAACATGCTAAATTATGAAGTCAGCATGCTGCTTGCAGAAGGGAAGATTATCTCACTTTTAAGAACTTGCACTAGAGATACTGCAATTTAAGAGGGGTTTATTGCTGAGTAAGATGTCAAGACAGTTTATTTCATTTAATTTCATTTTTACACTACTTGTAAATTAAGTTTCTGCAATAGTATTTTAAAATTAACATACTGCTAGTAGAAATGGACTCCAGAATGTGTGACTTAAAGAGATTCATGATTTGTTAATGTAATTTTGGAGTCTTCCTGGATCCAGCTTTTTTAACAGATACCTATAGTTATGCTCTATGTTCTGAGGAGGTGCCTGCAAGGCACATACACTGCCAAGGGAGATGCTATAGGGTCAAACTGCTGGTGCTGAGTACCCAACTGAGTACTCTGTTTGATTCAGCAGCTTTGCTTCATGCAGGCACTGGCCTGGTCCTTTGTACCAAATTTCCATTAGCAGCTGAAGCATGAAGTGCACTCCTGGAGTGCATTTTACCATTCTGTTTCATCTGAAAGTAAACCCAGTTGGGTGAACCAAAGCATGGCAAATGGAGGTGATGAGAACACTTGCTTCAAAAGCATGCACCTGATCTGAAATAAAACACTACTGTAGACCCAGCCTAAGAAGCAAGCCATGTTATGGTAACTTGTACAGTCTAAACTGAGATCATTTTGGCGCAGAGAACGCGTTTGGGTTTTGGTTTTGCCTTCCTCCCAGGAAGCAGGGCAGGAGCTTGACAACTATTGTACTCTTCTTGTCTTTCAGGTACAGGGACTACCGAGACTCTCCTCACTCCCCAGTGCCCTATGGTTACACACTGCAGTTCTGGCATGTCTTAGCAGCGCGGTTGGCTTTCATTATTGTATTTGAGGTCAGTGACCATTCAGGTGGCAAAACAGAAACAACAAAATGAAACAAATTCCCCTTCAAAACTTTTTCATTGGGTTGATCTATGGTGGCAGCTGTTGAGCTTTTTGTGCTAGTTTCTGCTATTTATATTGCACTTTGTATACTCAAATCTGTTTTCTGAACAGTCACAGGTATTTAGGTTCTAACAAAAAGGGGAATGCAGCACTTTGAAAACTATAATAGTGACTTGCAAAGAGTGGAAACAAATGAAGCTTGCTTTTATTTCCTTCCTGAGGTCTTGCATTTATAACCTGGCTAGGCTGGGAAGCCACATGCTGATTAGCGTGTGAGGAAGGGGTGAAGGAACATGAGAAGAAAAGATGAAATCTGAACAACTGAAAAATGAAGATAGTTTAAGTTACAGTATTTACATATCTAGCTTTTTTCTCTATTTTTAAATACCAATTATTTCCCCAGAATTATTAGCATTACAAAGATGATGACGATGAAAAGGATTCAATACCTTTGTCAATGTTCATAATATTAGTACTTCCTGTCAGCATCTCAAAAATCTTAAAGACAAATCAGAGAAGATAATGCCAGCTCCACATGACTGGTATTCCCGTGCTGATTTTGAAAAAGAGAGACAGGAGGGCAGATAAATAGGATGAGATCATTTATAAAACAAAATGCAGCTCTTAAGGCCTGAATTTCAGGTGCCTGAATATTCCTGCCAGAAACCAGGCATTCAGCATCATTCCAGCACAAGCAGTTTGAAATGCCTTTTACACTGTGAAGAAGCCAAACAGGGACAAACAAACAATTTTTAAAACTCTTTACTCAATCCTCTGCTCTGAAATCATAGCAACAAGGCATCCAACACAGATATGGAAGCTGTAGTCACCATAAATTATTGCAAATACTGCATTTCTGACTCACAGTACTGTGTAAGTTCATCCTGAACTCAGCTTTCTAAGCACTTCTTTCGATCACAGAACAGAAGCATTTGAATTAGACAAAAGGTGAAGGGAAAACCTTTTCTAGGTTGTTTCTTGCACAGGGATGTCTTGATGGCTCAGCAGAAGCCCAAGGTCTGCAGTGAATTACTGTGATTGTCATTTTCAGTCCTTCCCAGAAGAATGGGGAATATGGCACTGCAGGCTGGGCTCTCTCCTTCCTCGATACTGGGCTCACTCATTAGAAGTTGGTCCTAAGGAGATTGGCTTTTCCATCAACTCTGCCACACTCAGGGAAACATTAAAGGAAAGGGAGGAAGGAAGGAAGGAAGGAAGGATTTGATAGAGGCCTGCTGGGCTTGATCTCTTCCTTGTTTCTTGAGCTGTTGGTACTGAGAACCTGGTATGTGTCTTCAAAAAGGACTACAAGAACAGCATTGGCAGGTCAGCCTAAGCAGTTTTAAGATTGAAGAGAGCCTGGCTTCTTGATACACATTTGGTGTAAAGGCAGTGCATCATTAGGGCAAAGATAACTGAGGCAAGAAAAATCAGCCCTGCTCAAGTCTCAGTGCCTGGCCAAATTTGTGACCTGCTGTAGAACAGCTTTTTGTGTTTGCCCAATACTTGCACAAGACAATTGACTTTGCTTTGCCCGAAACAAAACCATAGGCTGGCTCATAGCTGTCTCCCTCAACAGGAGCCACTGTTCATTGGCACTGCAAGCTATATATATGAAATCAAAAAGATAATTGCAGCAGAAACCATGACTGTCTTCCTCTGTGGAAAACACTAATGGGTGTATTGTGATTGTTACAGCAATTACAATACAAGATCGCACTAATAGATAAGTGATTCAAGGCAGGTTTTTTCATAAATTAAGTAACTACCTAAGTTCAGACACCTTTTTGGCACTGTGGGTGCCACTGTGGGTGTGGTTATTTTGGCTATCTTGACCTCCCTTAAAAATAATCAAAACTATTTCCTATCACTGCAAAAGGAATTATTTGTCCGGGCTAAACTGACAGAAGCAGGGGGTTTTTTTGTTGTTTTGTTTTTTTTTTTTTAGGTTTGGCAAAAAAACAGCAATTAAAATATTGCAGGTTTATTTCTCATGAGGGAAGAATATATGGGAAAACATGTTACATTTTCTTTCCAGTGGCTTTTAAAGGAAGGCTTCTGATTGGAGAAGGAATATCTTTATTTCTTCAGTCTAGAATGAGTGTCCTTTCTGAGACGGAGGATTTTTCTGTTTCTCTGCTCCTCCTTTCAAGTGGAGTGAGTAAATCTCCAAGGAGATCTTTGATCAAGCAAAGGACATTCACACAATCCTCCCCCACAACACCCAAGCTTTGCTATGGCATGCCTAAAACATGAGAGACAAAGGATGTTACCTTGTATTTAATTGTGTTTTTTAGTAAATGGCAATATGGCTTTGGATGAGAGACAGTGTATAGGAAATAATGGGGTTTTTTGTACAGGTAATTCATTGTTTCCAGTACTGATGCAAGGGTTTCCTGCTAACAGGAAAGTATTATATCATATGATCCTCCTCCTCCTGCAGAGCAATCCACTAATACCAGGCCCTGCCTTACAACCTTACAGCAAAGCATGGCCTCAGGGGTTTGAACACACAGGTCATACAACACTTTTGAAGCCTTATTTGAACCCAGCTGCTCTTAACCTTTGCTGAGATCCATGCCCCACTCACTTTGGCTGGAGTTTTTGTGGGGAAAATTCTTCATGGTTTGGTCTCTTCAAATTTAGTGGTAGATTTAGTTCTAACAGAGCATATTTTTGTGAACTGGAAAGAGATGGTTTTCAGAAGATATGGAAAATACTTGTTTTCTTCTTAAGATTTTCATTTTTCATCCATCTTTTGTTTTCACAGCACCTTGTCTTTTGCATAAAGCACCTGATTTCCTACTTAATCCCAGATCTCCCAAAAGATCTGAGAGATCGGATGAGGAGAGAAAAGTACCTGATCCAGGAAATGATGTATGAAGCTGAACTAGAACGTCTGCAGAAAGAGCGGAAAGAAAGGAAGAAGAATAGAAAGTCTTATCACAATGAGTGGCCATGATGGGGTGAGGAAGAAACTGCTTGGGAGAAGATAGGAATTCTGTTTATAAAAATGTCCTGTTTTTCTACAGTGGAGAGTGTAATGAAAGGAACAGTCAGTGTTGTGTGCACTTAGCACATGTGCACCCATGTTTAATATGGTGCACATTGTCATAAGCCTTTTGAAATTAGAGGTCTTGCAAGGCTTAGTGTTCTCCAGAGCTAATGTCAGCATGAGCAGATCAGACCAATATTAAGTCTCTGCACTTTTTGCAGGAAGCTTCTTATGGCTCTTTCTCATGACCAAGTTGCTACTTCATAAGCAGTGACTGCACATTAGCACCATGGCACTACTTGTCCTTGTGTGTGGCCACCATCCACAGCATATGCATGTCAACGTTGCCCTCTTCCACAGTGGACTAAGCTGTTAGATTGCATTTACCGTGAGTTAAGGTCACATATGTGGACCATTTCCGTAACTACAACAATATTGGAGTAATTTTTAGGAGGAGATGCTTGATCATGAGTCTAATCAACTGGTCTAACAATTCTGAAAAATTTAGGTACGCAGAAGTACTGACAGATAGACAAGCATCTAAATGTGGACAGAGGTATCTAATTGTAGGGCCGTTTATTGGGAAATGATAGTGTGAAAAGTTGGTAATATGTTTTAAAGATTTGAACAGTGCCTTTTCAGCTATAGGACTGTCTGGTTTCTGAAGGAAAAAAATCAGACTAGAGCATGTTGCCCAGAATTGCCTGTGTATTTGTATTGCAAGATCACATTGAGGCCTCATCAGGAATTAGGGTGTATGATACACATAACAGAAGACAGACTGTGTCTTAAAGACCTATCTGCATAAGTAAAAAACAAAACAAAACAAAAAAACCAACCAGATGAACAAGGTCCGCAGAGCAAAAGAACTCAGGCATCCAGAATCTCTACTCCTGTAACATTTTCTTTATTCATCCTTCCATTAGCAATGGAGGAGTGGAGAGGGAAAATAAAACAAGAAGACTGTAGTATGAAATAGCTTGAAATCCTTCAAGCAGAGCTATTCTACACAGGCTGCAGAATTAAATTTGGCTAAAGTGGGCCACTGTCTACATCCTTTTGCAAATTCTTTAGCATTAAGAAACTTAAAAATTCCCAGATCTTTAACCCAAAATAGTGGAGTTGTAAGTCTCAAAACTGCAGAACTGATGGATGGAGCAATAGGAATCAAAATTCTGAGTGTTGTGAAAGCTCTACCACCTTTTGCCTGAAAGTGCTAACACTGCAATTCTTGTAGAACATGGAGTGGCATAATTAGCCACAACATGAAGTTCAAAAGCCAAGACTGCAAGAAGCCAAGTGGAGGCAAGCCTATGTTCTAGTGAAACAGCTAGACACAAAATACTGGAGTCGATCAGTTCACCTGGACCTTTTCCAAATAACTGGAGCTCCGTAAAAATTAGTTTTCTCAGAAATCTTAAGGCATTGTGACCTTGTTAGTTTGAAGATACTTAATAGGGAGGAAAATTCAGAAAGTTGTTTCTACAAGTTATTCCAGAGACCATTCAACAGAAGGGCTAGAATTTGCCTCTCTGGACAGACCACACACTGCAAGACCTTATGGACAGATGTCTCAGGCTCCATCAAACATCAGGATCACTCGCACCAAGACCACATATTGCCAAATTAAATCTATTAACTTTTTTCCACTGCAAGGGAGAACTGTGCTATTTCCAGGGGGCGGGGTGGGAAGGGGCCGGGGGAAAGGTTTTGATGAAGGGTAATATGGCTCGGGGAAGGAGGGGATGTAAGAAAATGTATGCACCCTCATCTCTGTAGCCACTGCCTGCCTACACTTTGCTTCCTTGCAGCAAGGAACCTCCTACACCAGTGACCAGTTATCCTACATGAAAAGGTAAATGGCAGAGCAGCTCCCATTTCTCAGGTGCTCCTGGCCCAGGCCTGAAGGTCCCATAAGGCAACATAAGCAGTGAAGGAATTTCAAGATTAATCTGTTCTCTGTTGACTCACTGACAAAATGAGTGGGGAATACGACTAAAGGTTGAGGAGTGTATTCCTGCTTAATGAGGAGGTGAATTTGTTCATCTTTCCTTCAGCTTACAAAAGCTGTGGACACAACCCACATGGGCAGTGGAGAAATGGGGTATTTCTGTCTCTGTAAACAGTGGGTGGGGATTAGGCAATGTTGTTCTCTGATACACACATGCCAGATAGGTTCATATTTACCATCCACCACCTACAGGTGTGTACTGCACTTGGAGACTCTCGGGCAGGATCGCCGTGCAAAATCACATTCAGACCAAATTCACATGAGCAGTTGGATTAGTTTGTACAGCCTCTGTTTAACATCTAAAACAACAGATGACAAGATCTTAGAAATGGTTTGCTAAGTAGTAAAGTGAGATGTGAGTCATGCATAAAATCAGTGTCACCCATGTAAGTGTGAACCTTCGCAAACTCCTGCAGTAAGATCTAGCTCGCTCAATGTAGAGCTCAGTAACTTCCCAGAACAGAGCTGAAACCTCGTAGAATATAAACTGACTTCAACTCCAGAGGAGCCGCTGCAACGTAACGTGCCAAAACAAATAAAGCGCAGCAGAAATACAATAGATAATAATTGCTTTTGAGACTAGTTTTCAACATAGTTACATTATGATGAATTTTCATGACAAGACATTGCTAGAAGTTGTGTCCTGTTCTGCTCTAAATGAGAACACGAGTTGGCTGCTTACCAAGCTTGTGCTGAGTACACTTCTGTCGCTTAATGTTGACCAGTCAACCCACCAAGGTTTCTGTGCTGCTGGTGTGAATAGATTTCCCTTGTGTCCTTCAGGGCTATATAGCAGAACACTCTGGAAAGATGACCCCTTTTTATTTATTGTATTAATTAGGAAAATATAAGACAAATAATAGGCTAATAATAAATGGAATTTTAGTGGTCTCTAGACAGCAAATTTATGCCATTCCCTTCTTTATGATCTGATGATGAGTTTTGTTTAAACCTCCAGGTGACCATCCTATGTGTCGTTTGCTTACTCCAGCTCCACAAGAGCACTACCTTCAAGGGAATGAGAAAAAATGCAACCTCAGTGCATGCCACAGACATTTTACGTAGCAAGCAGGACAGCACATATCAAAGGATTTACTGTGAAATCATCTTGCAATCAGCATAGGATTGATCTCCATAGACCACTCTTGATGGCAAGCATGTACTCCATGAGCAGTTACACGCCAGTTTTTAAAACCAAGGAAAACAACTTGTATATCGGGACTGTTTTTCAGCCTGTTTGCTATGTTTTTTTGCATTCTGTCCCATGTTGGTTTTACAGATCTTAGAATTAAAAATGTAAATGAACAACCTGGATACTTTGACAAAAGCAAAATCCTAGGTGTAGAACATTGTCTCAATTCAAGTCACCAAATACTACAACAGAAACACTGTTTACAAATCAGTTATTTTTTATTTTAAATCTTTCTGAGGGGAGTTCTGTTATTTTCCATATATATAATATATATATATATATATAAAGTAAATAGAGAGATTGTTTATTTGTAAATAGAAAAATCCTATGGAGAAGAATGTCAAGTTTTCACACTTTAAAAAAAAAAATCATCAACATAAAGCCATGTTTAATGCTTGTATAATGTGATGCAAAAAACTTTAAAATAAATTATGCATATGAAATATTTGCTGTTTGGCATTCATGAGTTATTTTCTGTTTACCTTATTTGTTCAGAAGGCAAACAGACCAGTCAGGCGGATGGAAGCAGATTTAAATGCAGACCAAAAAAGGGCCAAAATCCAACAGTACTTTCTACTTGTGGATCCTTTGTGCATTCACATAGTCAAATATTGTTCCTGTTGTGGTTTTAGTTCTTTTTTTAGTGTTCCTACTTATTTTGTGTCTTGACCCTGCCAGATGTTGCATGTAATTTGGACAGTGTGGAGCGCTTCCACTCCTGTGGAATTAATCAGCTTTGAGCATCCTGCATTTCTTTGTTGGGTGAGTTTTTAGCTGGGAGGGATGAAGGATCAGGGTGCAGGAGTGTGATGGAAGCACCAAGAAGTATCTTGCTGCTTTTACACAAACAAGGCCCTGGCTGAGAGTCCAACTAGCAAAGGACAGTATATAACCCCAAAGAAAATATTATTCAAAATGTATTGCTTTAATTAGTGGTGCCAATTAAAACAAGAAGCATATAGAAAAAAGTAAAGCAGAAAGAGTCACTTCATAGTTCTGCAGCAATCATGGGAGGTAAGTTAGCAAGAAATGGGGTAGTTGCCAGGGTCAGCTGCAAAGCTTAAGAAGGTTTGTCTCTAAACCTCTTACAGCAAGATATTCTCCCCCATGAAAACACATCTTGATGTTGTGATTGTGGACCAATAGATATCACCGGTCCCAAACTTTCACTTCATACCAAAATGAGAGTTACATGACTGCTCAGTGCTCAAATAGTGACTTCAAGCAGTAAGGTAAGTCAGTCATTTAGGCGTTTTCTCTGTTTTAAACAACTATGTGAATTCAAATCACTGAGAAAAAAACTCTGGTGCTACATTTTTTCTTAACTATGGTAAGCAATGGGGGTTTTCACCCGCCCAAACCACAGGTACAGTCTGGAGTGGATACAGTCTGTTCAGCTTCTCTTGGCAGCCCAGCCAGAGGATAAGCCATCCCATGCCCTGCAGCCCTGGAGAAGGCTTCACTGAATGACAGCCTCTGCAATCCCTTCCCCATCCTAGGGGGTTGTGCAGTGGACTCTGACTGCCTGCCAAAACACACAACGTGCTCTTGCCTGTTCTGGACCAACCTTGAACATGAATCCCCAGAGGGACAACAGGGACTGCATGAACACAAAGGGCTACACGAGGTTTCAGCTCACAGTTGCACAGACAACAGCAGTGGCAACTGCAGATGCAGCTCTCCCTCTTGTCCAGCACAGCAGGGAAAGCCCTCTTCTTGCATGAACATCTCTGCTGCACTGCGCCCAGCCCAGTGCAAGAGCAG